TAGTGTTCAAATATTTGTATTAACGTAAACGTATTCGTGTGATTAAACCACAGGTTTCACACTCATTCTATCTCAATTTGTAAAACCTGTTGAGATTCCCGAAAGAATAGGGTAACAATCTCATCAGAACGCATAAAAGAAATTTTGGATCATTACAAAAAATTCAAATTGAACGATGAAACAAAAAAAATCAAATAAAAATTTAATCGAAGATTTTTGATATGATTTGAAAAAAATTTATGATATCTTATCATATTGATTTTTCTACGCGCTTGTTTTCTTTTATCAAGAAGATATTATTTATAAAAATAAAATCGAATATTTCATCATTATAATGTGAATATGTATGTATCATATATATGTAAATTCTAAAAGAAAAATCGGAAATTATAAAATATTAATATTTAAACTGTGCAGAAAATTTATATATTAATCAATTACATCAATGTTTAAAAACATATCTTGATACATAACATATCTAAAATTTAGGAATTTATTTCTGGATGGATTTCTGAATGACTCAATTAATAATTTAAAAAAAATATATCATGAATCATCGTATATATATATATCGTATATAACGAATAATGAATATGTATATCGACAGAAAGAGCAATCAGAAAATTATATAAAAGTAAAAACATTTGTAAATTGATAAACATAAAATTAACATACTAGTCTAATTTATTGCTAAATCTAACTTGTTATTCATTATATACGAGTTAATTATTATACGCTGCTCAAATCCTCCTAATACAGAATTGATTATTTACTTTTAATTATTTTAATTATTTATTTTTAATAGACAGTGTATTATATAATTATTTCTAATACAATTCAATTACAAAAATAGGCACGTTTCGTATAAAATCATACTACTCGAGAAACGATTTTGATACAACGATGAAATAACTGAAAATTTACAAATATCGTTGAACAAGGGATTTTTGCCCAAATCCTCTTAACCAAGATTCTAAATTTTTAACTTTTATATTCTTATAACGATTCAAAATATACAAATTCTTTTTCTCTAGAATCGTATCTTTTGCAATTGAATGAGCAATATGATATTGCGTGATTTTTTTTTTAGCAACCATAGGAAAACGGTACTTACACGCAACACGAAGAACTAGCTTACCCTTTGCCATCCAAAAATTCCAGCACAAGAAGAAACGTAACAAATGGCAAGAACCATTTCCAGTTACGGAGTGACGAGGAGCGAGCGTTCGAAAAGGGTGGTTGAGGGTCGCAAGTGGAATAGGTAGCGTTGGAGTGTTTCGCAGCCGGGCTCACCGTTCACTGGTCAATAATCCACGAAAGGGAAGGCATTACAAGCGAGTGATCTCGAGGGTATCGGGGCCACTCGTTTGCAAGGCAGGACCACCATGATCGGCGTGGTAATGGTATCTGAAGAAAATAATATCCTACTTCCCCGTCCCGCCCTGGCAACAGGGGATATCGGTGTAGCGCTGAACCAGACTCGAAGAAGGCCCCCGATCACCGATCGCCGAATGAACGATTAGTATCTCATGTCGTCGGCATCGACGACGGCCAACCCGTGTATTCGAACGTCTTGAGTCTTACACGCCCGTGGACATGGATATCGTTCAAACCGTTCTTGCGTCCTCCTGATCGGCATTCTTTCCAAACTATGCTGCATCCTTTTATACATTGTAATAGATACGATGGGGAGTTTGATATGTTTTGAATGGATGATTTTGTTTTTCTCTTCTTTTGATCCTTGTGGTGAATGGATGTTTCTAGATCCACTGGTTTTTTTAGATTCATTGATATTAAAAATATTGATATTTCAATGATTTTTCGGCAAAATAAATGTTGATTGTTGTTTTAACTGGTTTTGAATATGTCGATTTATTTTTTGACACAGGGATTTTTCGGTGAAGAAATTAATATGATTTATTTTTTATAATAAGTATTTAAGTATGTTGTAAATAGATGATAAGCATCTAATCAAGATTTTATATAGACTTTATATATTTCTTCTTTTAAGAATTAATTATAGATTTAACTCTATGTTTCAAGTTTTAATTTTTTCGTCATATTTTTAATGAATATTCTTCCGAACGTTAGAAAACTACTATTAAAGTCGTGTTTAGTCTTTGTATCATTCTAGAAAAAATATTGCCATTGATAAATTATGTAAAATATTCCAATAAATATATTATAACTATATATACTTATATTAAAATAAATTTTATAAATCTATATTTATATATTTATATATTATTTATTATGATATAGAATTTAAGGATTTATAATTGCTATAAACAGATTAGTGTATAAAATTGATCATCTGAAATAAATTTTAAGTAAAATAAATTAAATGAATACCATAACACGTGAAATATAAAATAATTCATAATTTTTAGTTATATGGTATTATATAAAGTATTATATAAAGTTAAAGAAAAGGCTAACTTATTTATTCACTGATCTACATATAGCAATATTTACAATGTAAAATTTGTATTATCATCGCTTTTCTAAATCTCTATTAAATCACTCTGATCAGATTAATTTTAACCAGCTCCGATATTATTCCATGCCACTCAAAATAACCGAATGCAAATCGTTGCATTCATATTCAATTTTAGGCAAAATTGAAATCTTGCAAATCTCTTTAGCAAACACCTTACGGTGGAAGCATGGAAGGTTAACGTTATTTAAGGTAGGGGTAAGCACATGTGGAAGAGGAGGATGATGATATGTGCGTGGAACAAGGCAAATACGATGAAGGAAAAAAGAGAGCGACGAAAAGGCCGGCCCGTAGTGGAGTGGGGTCGAAGCAGTAGTCAGTGAGTAAGGGGTGAGAGTGGGTGATAGTAGGTGGTAGATCTCTAGTTAGCTAAGACACATTGACAAGCCATCGTGCCAGCATGACAGTAGCATACGGCAGTGCCATCCCTTAAAATTTCCTTTTCTTGCCTCAAGATTGACCTAAGTTGGAAAAATTTCAAGAATATCTTAGTTCAAGTTAAAAATCAAAATTTGGTGTGATAGAAGTTAACTTACATTAGTGATTTAATCTGTTTTCTTTAAATTCTTCTTAATGACCCAAGTGTGTTTAATGACAGAGAAAATGTGCAAAGTGTGATTATGTCTTCTTTGTGCTTCAAAATCAGACTGAAAATTTAATTGTGAGACAGTGTAGGTAAAACGTGTTTTATATACTTATTGAAATTAAAAAGAAAAAGAATTTTCAAAAATGTTTGAGAAAAAAATAAAAAGTTTATACAAAAACAGAAAGAAGAACAAAGAGTACTGTTAAGAAAAACGGTGCAAAAATGTTACAAAGTTAAATATTTATTAATAAAAATATAAAACAATAATTTAGATATAGATTGTGTTAAATATAAAAGTTTAAGATTAAAATATATTCAAATTTTAGATATATATTGCATAACAAATATTATATACTTGTTATATCTTATAATTATTTGTTCATCACCAAATAATTAGAAGGAAGTAAAAGTTTCAAAATGAAAAAGTGTAGAGACATTTATTGAGAAAAAAAAAAGCAGACAAAACGTAAATTTTGAAGTAATTGATGATTATTTAAATCGTCGAAAATGGAGAAGTGAATCACGTGGAAAGATGCACATGGTTTTCAGACTATGAATGAAAATATCCGGCAGATTTTCTGCAGAAGCCTTTAGAGGAAACCGGCAGGTCTTCCAAGCCATAAAGGTACTTCTATACGTTCGGTCCATATGCACGTGCATTTTCCTTTCAGCCATTCATAAAAAGTCATTCATAAAATTCGCTGATTTTTTTATCATTTTATTCTTATTCTTCAAACAATGATTGATCTACGTTATATTAATATTTCTTGGATAACTCTAAATACTTAAGAATAATAAAGAAATCGTTGAATACTTGAAATAGATATAACTATAGCGATGAAATATCCTATTCTATATTGTTTAATGGTTCTAAAATTTCGTTATAATATACATTGACATGTATACATTGAATGTTAATAAAACGGTGTAATGAAGATAAAGTTGCTGTTTTATACCAATTTTTATGTTTATTATAGTCTTTAAAATTGGCATAATTCATTTGTATCTTCCACGAATATCCTGTATTTATATGTATGCATAATTATAAATATGTACATTATATTTAAATTTTATATTTTATTTATTCGTATTATAATATATTTGTATATTGCAGCATTTCGATTTAATGAGAAAAACTATTGGCTATAATATTCGTTCGTACCGTTATAAAGTCCCTTATAGAATTATCCTATTAATAACATAATATAAAAAAAAAATAAGTAAAAATAATAAAAATATATACTGTATATATAGAATTAAAAATTTATTTTTTATAAAAAATAAAAAATAAACATTTTTTATATTAAATTTCAACAATTTTATGTAAAATATTAAGTTTCAATAATAATAGTACGAATTTATATTTACATTGCAATTTTTAAAAATACATAATAAGTATATTTTTCAAAAATAATCTCTAATAAGAAATAAAAATCACTTTTTCAAAGTACTACTCATCTGTTTTTCTATTTTCTTTCAATAAATAACTAATTTCCATTAATTAAATAACTAACAAAACTAACATAGGAGTAGCAATGCAAATTTTTAGATTTCTTTTAGATTCCTTTAAAAAAAAAATAAAAAAATATTACTCACCTATAATTTTTCAAATCTTGTTTAACATTCAAGTTCTGAAAAATATATAAAATATATAATATATATAAATATATACAAAGTATTACTAGAGAAAATAAGAAATGCACAATTTTTATGTATGTATCAATAACACAAAAGAAAATCATCTCAAAAAGAATAAAATATTAAAAATATATATTTCATGATATACATATATAGGAGCAATCAAGGAAATGATAGAAATAGTTGTGAAAAATATCGTGAAAAATATTGATAAAGAAAATCGGTCATACTCACGGAGCAATGTGCGGTTGCTAGGGAGACCAGAGGGGCTGGACCACATCTCTACAGAGAGGAGGCAATCCGTCCGCGTATTTTATCGAGGCGGGGAAAGGGGTTGTCTCTAAGGGCGGTTACGAGCAGAAATTTCGCAGAGATGGAGTTTCTGCAGAATCACCACACGGTGAACACCTCCGAATCGCCGTACACCCTTGGCACAGGTGAGCCATAGTATTTCTAACAAAGAAAGTATTCCAATTATTATGTATGAGATTTAAGACTTAAGATGAAAGATTTATATTATCATTTATTAAAAAAGAAAAACATTTTAATATTATAAAATGATTTTAGTGATCTAAATGATCGTTAGCCTATTTTTTTCATTATATATTGTGTTCTTATTTTTATGGAAGGTATATGGAATCTCTATCTTACATTTCAGATTTTACGCAAATTTTATAATAATTTTTTAATATAACATAAATTCATATCATAAAAATTGAAATTGATAAATATTTTGATAAAGATATCTATTGATTTTTATTAGATTATTTCAATGTATATTATATATTTCAATATATTTTTATTATTCAATATCTTCTTTTCTTATTTTTTAAATTTGCATGTTTAATATCGGAATTGATATAATTTTATATATTTGTCGCTCTTTTAATTTATTCATTATTGTATTATGTAATATTCTTGTCTGTTTTCTTATATATTTCTTTTAAATGAAAGCTATTAGAGTTAACAATAATTTTTTATTATTTTATTATAAATATAAAAAACAAGTTAACAACATTTAAATTTAAAACATTAGCAATTATTTTTCTTAGTAAAAAGTTATTTTTCTTTTAATTTTTACTTTAAATTTTTAAAGTAAAATTTTTAAAGTAAATTTTTAAATATTAAAATATTTATTTTCATAACATTTTCATTCATTTAAATAATAATTTTAGAATTTAAAATTCTATGTTTTTTCACTTATATTTCATTTATTATGTAATATATAAATATACTATAATATAAATAATAATGAAAATAATATAATATTTATTATATTAAATAAATTATTAACAATTACTTTGAATTTTAGAAAAAAAAGTTTTTAGAAGAAAATTTCAAGATTTACAAATTTATATTTCTTTCTTTTTAACTTTAATAAAAATGCTTATTAGGTAATTGTGATCTACTTTAAAAGAAAATTATTATATTTTTTTTTAATCTTAAAATTTAATTTAATATAACATTTTTTTTCGAATAATTCTTCGCAGGTTCGGTAGGAAGTATCGAGGCCACTATACCTTCTGGTCTCTGTACCGGATCTTTAGGTGTTCTAACCAATGAAGACACCTTAACAGATAATCAAAACGAAGAAACATTAGGTGCTCTACAGGGCACTCTTCGTTTACAAGATTTGCAGAACTCTGCAGAAGACATTGGTGGCGATCAAACTCAACAAATTCAAAATTCTGGACAGAATCAAGTGGTTAGTGAGTTTGGAGCGAGTTTCTGGGTCGATGATATGGCTGGTTTTCCATTGCCGCCGCTGGATTTGGATCCTTTACCACCTGGTCTCTTCAGCCCATGCTCGGGAACCTATAAGTGAGTCGCAGAAAATGTTTTTTCAAAAAAAAAATCTCTCTATTTTCATTCTCAAAATTATATAAAGTATACTCGAGTTTTCATTTAATGCATCAAATTAACTTCACTTCATACATCTTGTAAGTTCACAATTCGATATTTTTATTTTAAAATTTAAATTTTTCCACTTAAATATATTATATTACATTTAAATATATATATATATATATATATATATATATATATATGTGATATGTAATTATCACATGA